ACACATCAAGCTGCTTCTCCCTTCTTTGTATGGGGAAAAAGCAGCATTCGTGGTGGCTTAATATAAATAGTTGGCTTTTCAAAATAATATTCCCCAAAGCAGGGCTCAGAAATGCAGTGAACTGTCAAGAGTGTCGAGTCCTGTGCCGTCTCCTTTACCTCCTACACACATGCCCTGTGCCAAGTCAGAGGTGCCGTCTGGCCTGAGTTCCTCAGTATGTGGTCAGTGTAACAGCCGCCCCCCCCCAGCTCTACATGCAGATGCTGTTTCTCTCACTCTACTTTGGCCCTGCACAGGCTACATGAATGAGTATTTAGTGATCAGCTTCTCTCCCCAACCACGAGGTAGTCACCAGTAGGATAACGTTTCAGACACGGGGTCTGTTAGGTTTTTGTTGGTAGCAGAACTGAACCAAATACTTTTTCTCTTCTCAACTGTCCTCCCACTTCTCTCTGTGGTTGCCTCCCCACAGTGAGCTAAAAGTCCTCTCAGGAGAATGGAGCCTAGCAGACAACTACTAAAGGCCACCACCCACCCCGAAATGTGGCTGACCCCATCCAGGGCTGGCAGTGCCCACATTGCCACAAGCTGTCCCTGGGCAGAAGAGGCCGGCAAGGAGGCCGCCTGGAGCTTTCCAAGCCCCCAGTTCCCACTCAGGAGCAGAGTGCTTCCTTGTCTTACAACCACTGATGCTCACAAGACCGGCTGCCACAGAAGTGGTGAGTGAGTTCTTAGATGTGGTGTTCAGTATAGAAAAGTGTTACCTTGGCAACAGCAAGGATGCTTCATTTCCAGATGGCATTAGCTTTTATCTGTGGCACCCAATAGCTGTTGCCAAGAACCAACCCGTAGCCCCTGTCAGTGAGCATCTCGCTCTGACTCTGGCAGCATTGGCTGGTTGTGGAAAGATGTCCACTGGCCCATCTGTGATGCACTGCTGTATCAGGCTGTCAGAAGCCCAAGGTCACTACAACCCAGTGCATCCAGACATCCTCAAAGCTCATGCACTCCAGCTATGTGAGCATCTGACTCACCGTGGAGCAGTGCTGAAGCCAGAAGCACTTGTAGAACGTCCCGGTGGCCTGTCAGCGTGCAAGAGGAGTGGGGCTTCTTCAGAGCAGACGATTCGCCTCAGCTCACAGAGCCTGTGGGCAGAGCAGAGGACCACACTCGGGTGCTGAGGCCGGGAGCACTTGAAGAACGTGCACTGAGCTCCAGTTGATGACCTGGCTGCAGAATGGTGGCTCCTGCTCTGCTGCGCCGCACTCTGAAGAAAGCTTTGTCTGCACAGTGCCCTCGGATGAGTGTTGCAGCCTGCATCTTCTCTTGGGATTTCCTCAACCAGCCCCTGAGCACTTCATCCCACGGTTGCACGTACAAGTGAGAGGCACTCTGACTTCTGTGTCGTGCTGCCTGGAACAGGCACTCAACAGCAAGCACAGAAAATGGCCATCACTGGAGGCGGTGAGGTCAACTCCATTGGCCCTGTGGCCCTTCCGCTGAGCTGCAGGCTTTCAGGCGCTTCTGCTCAGCGCTCATTCATCAGACCCCACTGTTTTGTTTGTCCTTCAGGACTCAGCACCACCGTTACTCCCTCTCCTACAGCCCTTAGTGTGGCAGCAGGAGGCGGATGAACCCCAGGAGGCAGATGGACCCCAGGAGGCGGATGGACCCCAGGTGGTGGATGGACCCCAGGAGGCGGATGGACCCCAGGAAGCGGATGGACCTCAGGTGGTGGATGGACCCCAGGTGGCGGATGGACCCCAGGAAGCGGATGGACCTCAGGTGGTGGATGGACCCCAGGTGGCGGATGGACCCCAGGAGGCGGATGGACCCCAGGAGGCAGATGGACCCCAGGTGGCAGATGGACCCCAGGTGGCGGATGGATCCCAGGTGGCAGGCTTGCTGACCTCGAGCAGCAGCAATCCTGACTCCAGCCTCAAACCATTGCACCCCAACAAACTCCAGCAGGGGCGCAGACTGAGAGCAGTAGCTGCTACTGAGCCCTTCCTCTGTGCCACCCCTGCGTCTGCATCTATATATTGCCCACTGGACTCCTCCTGACCCTTCTGCAAGGGAGGCAGCCTTGTGTTTCTTCAGATGGGAGGAAAACAGCATTTAAAGAGTACGGTACCGAGGAGGCGCTCCCAGCAGCAGGGTCAACACCTAACTGAGTGCACCTGGCCTCCGGAGCTCCAAGTTTGGACAGTATCACCATGAGCATGTTGACACTCTATGCCTCTCCAACTCATATGAGCACTAGAGTCCTTTCTGACAAACTTCATAGAGCCTCATGGAATTGAAAGATAGTAAAATAAACTAGTGCAAACCTTCCCACCCCTCCACACACAAGTGCCTCCTCCAAGGGGTCCTGCCAATAACCCAAGCCCCAGGCACAATTCCTGACTGATCTGTGGGAAGTACAAGGTAGGAACATGTCAGTGTGTCATGCAGAAGCACCAGTGAGGACAGACTATGGTGCCATACACAGCACATCTTCCTGCCTCCTCAGCTAGCAAAGCAGGCGAAGGAGGCACCCGGACCTAGACTGTGACTCTCATCCACCCAGCACCCATATTTCGATCCTGGCATATGCAAATTCTTTTAAAAAAGTGGCATTTGTGAGACTTGGAAATCTAAACTGACTAATAAACCAGGTGTTTGCTGATTTTGGAGAGTTGCTGTTATCTAGACATAAGACATGTCACAGTGTGGCTTTTTTGTTTGGAAGGCTCTTGTGTTTCAGAGAAACATACTGAAATACAGAGAAACAATACCATGGCTGTTACTGTTTCACTGGGAGGGAAAAGGAGGTGGAGGTGACTCTGTGTGGCCAGATGTAACACTAGGTAGCCTGGAGGAGTCATTTGTTACAGCCAGATCAATCTGGTCTTTGTTACTGAAAGGTAGATTCTTTTATTTTAATGTATAATGGATGTTTTGCCCACGTGTATATAAGTGGAGAGGTCAGAAGAGGGGGTTGGATCCCCTGGAATTGGAGTTATGGATGGTTGTTAGCCATCATGTGGGTGCTGGGAACTGAACCTAGGTCCTCTGCAAGAGCAGCCAGTACTCTGACCTGCTGAGCCATCTCTCTAGCCCCATACTAAAAGGTTTTTTAAAACCAAGTTGGGCCAGGAGTGGTGGTATATGCGTTTAATCTCAGCATTCAGGAGGCAGAAGCAGGCGGATCTCTGTGAGTTCGAGGCCAGCCTGGTCTACATAGTGAGTTCCAGGACAGCTGGGACTACAGGGAGACCCTGTCTCAAAAAAAGCAAAAACAAAAATTATTTAGAACAAGTATCTCAAAAGTGTGGATGGTGATTATCTTTAGCTGAAAAGACTGAGCAGTTGTCTTTCTTTTCTCTAATTTTAGACTTCTGCTAAACTCTTTTTAACTTTTCTTAGTACTACTTTAGAACACCTAAATTGAATCTTTGAGACAGGCTGGCCTCGATCTCATGGAGATCCACCTGCCTCTGCCTCTGCCTCCTGAGTGCTGGGATTAAAAGCATGTGCCAGCACACCCAACCTAAATTGACTTTTAAAACAGAAGTTTTCATGCCTTTACTGTATATTTCTGATATCTCTCTTCAGAAACATAAGGAGCTACTGAGACAATTTGTTGGTTAATTAAAGCTCGCTAGAGTTTGGTGTTTTTAGAAAACAGTTGCTCAGTTACGTGAGCTCCTAAACCATGCAGTAGAAGACAGGCATTCTGCGGGCGGCATGTGAGCCCTGCCTCCATTACAGAGTGATGACACCCCTCCTATCCTGCCCTCCTTCCCTCCCAGGAGGCCCCTATGGCTCCTGCCTTTGTGGTCAGGGTGCCTTTTTGGTACCCTTAAGTAGTAATTCTCAGGTACCCAAAAAGCACCCACCTAATGTCATCTGGTGTAACGGTATTTAAAGACGGGAATAGATGTGTGTGTTCGCACTCCTTTAATGTACGCAAATGCACTTGCTCTTTCTTTCTGTGCTTATAGTCTATACAAGTTTAGGCACATAACACGGAAATATCAACCCAGCACCAAAACAAGGATCCAGGTGTCAGGGTGCTCACTGGCACCTACAACTATTCAATCAGGCAGAAACTGTAGGGACCATGGCAACAAGGAAGGGTTGCTTAGAGACGGTGTCTTAAGACCCTGGCAACAGGTTGGCATGGAGGAATCTGGCCTACTATGTGAGCTGAGGCTCTTGGAAACCAGCAGGCTTCCTTTCCACAAATTCTGGGACATTGAGCCCTAGGGGAACAGCCAGACCCAAAGGCCTCAGGTGGGTCCTGGGCCAGGTCTGCCTCCATGTCTCACCTGGGAACTGAGAAGAGGTTTAGCGCAGGGCTCAGGCATTGCCCGAGCCCAAGGGAAGGCTGTGCTCCTCTATTCTTGTGCATGCTGCAGGCTCCTCCTCCCTGGTCTGAGAGTCGTCTTAGATGTTTCCTTAATTCATATGCGCTTAGGTTCTAAGAGAGTAAAGCACATTGTACATTTCCAGGATGGAGTTCCTCTTCTGGCTAAGTGGAGCCATGCTCTCTCCTTCACACTCCGCTTTGACGTTTCTCCACTCTGTTCTAGCTGTAAATAGGCAGCCCCACCAAGGAGGCGCAGTGCCTGTTGCTCCTCTCCATTAGGCTCCACACATCCCTCCACACATAAATGGGACCAGGGAACAGTAGGGAAGCCAGCGGGCTCGCCAAGCCCTAGAAAGCCAGCATTCAAGGATCCTAGGCCTAGAAAGTGCTGGGAGAGCCACTGCATCCAGCAGAGAGGGCGCAGCACTGTGATGAGCTGGGGCCAGCAGCGTCCTTAGGAGGTTCCAGGAAGAATTTGCACTGTCAGTCCCATACCTTAGAATAAGTGCTGCCCCCGTTTCCTGTACCACCTCACTGGAAACAGGGCAGCAGTTAATGGTTTCTGCTTTCCACCATCCTGCCCAGCTCTGTGTAATTTTTGTGTTACAGTGTGAGCCTTCATGTTCACATACTCATGTTTCGACAGGTGACCTTGGGAAAGGTGTTGAAAGTGATCGTGGTCATGAGGAGCCTGTTCATTGATCGTACAATAGTAAAGGGGTATAATGAAAACGTCTACACAGAAGATGGCAAGGTAAGCATCTTAGAGTCACGGGAGGGGGTGTCTTTCTCTGCTGAGCCTCAGAGCAAATACAGGTGAATGACATTCAGAACCAGCAGTCATCACTGAAGTGATCCAAACAGACTTGTCAGGATGAAGACGACCCTCGACAAAAACCATCTCGCACTCTCCTCTTGCATTTTCATCAAAACTTGGCTTCCAGCTCCGAGCCCGATGCCCTCACTTGAATTTCTAATTTATCACCTTAGACCCCAGTTGCCTCATTAAATGTGTCTTCTGAGAAAATAGATTTTTTTTTTCAAGTCAACCAGCACATCAGTAGCCCACAGTTCAGCATTCTGCTTCTCCTAGAGCTGTGAGGAAGATTCGAGTTGGTCTGACACAACCCTATGACACTCAGCCCGTGACCCTCAGAGGTGGCCTTAGGAAGTCCTCTCTGTAGCTGTGCACTGAATGCTGCTGCAGGAAGAAGGTGGCTTCTTCCACATAGAGTTCATGCCGCAGCCGCTCGCTTGCGCTGAACACACTGCAGGAGGAAGACAGGTGCTTCCCACGGCTGGCTGGTTTCATGGCAGGTTCACTTGCGTGGACCTCTGGTTTCTTTGGTCCATACTCTCCATCTGGCTCTGTGGAGTGCAGTGGAGGACACTAATGAGAGCTGACAGCCTTCATTTGTGTCTACTCCCAAGCATAATGAGCACCTGCCCCATAGACCCACCCTGATTCTCTCTGTCACTTCCCAGCCTGAGGCCCCCTCCCCCATCATTTCCTTTCCTCATTTTGAATGTTAAAAATTAAAAACATGCCAGGCATGGTGGTGCACACCTTTAATCCCAGCACTTGAGAGGCAGAGGCAAGCAGATCTCTGTGAGTTCGAGGCCAGCCTGGTCTACATAATGAGTTCCAGGACAGCTGGAGCTACAGGGAGACCCTGTCTCAAAAAGACTAAAAAAAAAAAAAAATTAAAGACATGTTAATAGTAGCACCCACCACTCAGTGACCATATTGTAATCAGAATAGACTGTTCTTCAGAAGCCAGTGATAGACATGGTCTAGCACCTAGCAGGTGCACCAGTGCTGTGGTTAAAGTTTGTATTTTGAGTGAGGCACCCAGCACCCCCATGTCCCACAAAGCATGGGCCACCTAAGAAGCTACTTTGATTCAAAGTTCTAGTTCTCTGCTGGCTCCCATAGGTCTCCTGACTGATAGCAAATCATCTATTGAAAGATTTCCTTTTTGTTTTGGAAAACCAAACTGGCCTTGGAGCAAACATGGAGAGTGCAGGTGACAGTCGGATGAGCATGGCACGTGCCATTCTAAGCTCTGCCTGGGCTCCAGTGAGCAGCCAGCTCGCTGGTCTACTCAGAGGTCACCTAGGACTGGTACACACCTCCCAAGGAGACCAGCCTTTGGTGGGCACAGAGAAACTCATTCCTCTGGGGTTTTTACAAGGTTAATGACACTGTGAAACAGCCTGGAAACACGTGGATTGGAGATAAATAACACATGCATAGAAAGTTAGACTATAATTAGTAGTATGCTTGTAAAGTTACCAAGTCAGGATGTGAATGAGTCCCACTCCAAATTCAGACAAGGAACTCAGATCTGCCCACTTTGCATGGTGCCGGTGACGTTACACTGACATGATTGCACCAAACCGGAAGTATCCACAGTAATACACAGGCATCAGCACTCTGCCACCTGGTATACAGTCATGCTGCACTTAAAACAAGAGAACTGGAAAATGGTCCCCGTAGAAGCCGTGTCCTATAGATGCACTCTCTGGTGACCCTGCTGCAGTGGCAGCTTCTCTCCAACTTTTCCTTGGCACCTGCTCCCCAGGGTTCTCTCTTCTACTGCCCACGCCCCTTGACTGTTCTCACTCCTGTCCAGACCTAACCCCGTCAGCTGCCTGAACTCGGGTTCTCTCTTCTCTCTCATCTTGGTCAGCCGTAGCACCACCAGCTTGCCCAAACTTTCCTCCCTTGCATCCCTGCGGGCTGGTCTGTCAGCCGGTGTTGGCAGCCACCCCTCTAAGATCTCCATGCTGCAGGCCCTCCTGTCTGTCCTCTGTGTCCTGGTTCCTACTGTCATTGAACTGGATCCTGCTCTTCTTGCCCCAGAGCCAGGCTTCAGTGGTCTTCCCTCCCCCAGTTCGTCCCACCCTCAGCTTCCAGACCTGTCTCCCCAACGCCCCCCACGCATAGGCTTCGCTTGCCTTCGCCATCTCAAGCACCTTCCCAGAGCAGGAAGTCAGCTCTTAAAGGGTTAGGTACAGAGCAGCTCATGAGCAAATGGATCAAGACACACTGGGCTACAGAGTCCCCTATCTTTCTTTTGCAGTCTTGGGGGCAGAACCCAGGGTCTCCCACGTGCTAGGCAGGCACTCCACCACTGAGCTGCTCCCTCCCCCTAATCCTAGCCAAGAAGTTAGGTGTCATTACTGTAGAAGTTTCTGGAGCTTTTGGTTTGTATGCATCCCTTGTGACTGTCGAAGAGGTGCATACAGTCTGTAGTGTTTTTCTCACTGGGTCACCAAGTTCCTTGGTCTTTCCAACTTTATTTTTCCTCAGAGCATGGTATGCCAGCCACGTGCACACATGCTTCGAGAATCTGGCTTACGGAACCAACTTCAGACCCCCTCACAGGGCCTGAGCCCACCTGCCACGTTCTCTACATGTGTCCCATCTGGCTCCAGCCTTGGTGCTCACTGTGGCTCTCAGGACAGCTCACTCATACACACACTTGCCCATTCTGTCTTTCCCTGGATGCTTGTCCTGGCTCATCCACCTGACAGACTTTTACCTTCTAAAGCCGCTTCCTTCACATTTTCCATGTGAAATGTGAGATTTCCCATGGGCTGGGTTTTACGAGGAGTGGAGTGCTGTGCTCATGACCGTAGGCTGTGGAGCTGTTCTTCGTTTGCCTCTGTTCACCGGTAAAGGCTCATTCAGCATCAGTGACATGGCCATAGAATTTTGGAGGTCTTTTGCCAGCACTAGAATTAACACGCTGTTACTGTGCCCCACCCTCCTCTGTTTTCTCAGTACTGACTTGGCTGGCCTGGTGGATGTTGCTCTATTCACACTGTGCCTTCAGGCTTAGTCCTCCTAACCATCCCATGTCTTAGGAACCTTTTTTTACAGAAAAGAAAGTTGGACAGAGAGTCACCACAGCTACAGCCACACAGAGCCGGCACACAAGCCTGTGTCGCCAGCCTTGTCCTGTGACTGTCCCAAGGAACAGCCTAGAAGCGCTGTCGCACGGGAGAGGCTACAGCACCAGCCTGCCTGTGAGCTGGGAGTGCTCAGCTGGACAGTGGAGAATCAGAGCTAAGAAGCAGCAGCATTAGAGTCGTGAGTCGTCAGACTGAGGGGCACACGCACGCATAGGTTCCCTTGATGAAAGAGTCGCATGGGTCCTCTGCACATCAGAAAGAATGGGAGCGTTTTGAGGATCTGGGTTTGCAGCTGGCAGACATCAGAAGTGTGCTTCGCAGGAAGCCTCATGATCCCATTTACCAGTGTGTCCACAGGCCCGTGCAGCAGGCAGGGACCTCAAAACCAGACAGAGAAAACCCAAGAGGGCCAGGCCCCAAGGTCCTGAGGGCGGTTCACCCACAGCTGGGGGGAGCTCTCAGCTGGCCTGCCCCTGAGACCTACTGTCACCATTTGATTAGCCCTGTTTTTGTTGAGTACTTACCAAAAGAGGAAAAGAAGACAGCGTGGACACTGCAAGTGTTCAGTTCTGAGTCCTGAGCCTCGTGTGTACGTACTTCTGTGTGTGTACATACACACATGCACTAATGCTGTCTGTGTGTCACAGTGTCTGTATATCCTAACAAGACAGAACATTCGGAAGGCACCATTGGAGCGTGGGGTGTGGTCTGCGAGGACCCACTGTCCCTTGCAGTTTCACTGTTGTCCGACACAGGCTAGCATTTGCTGAGCTGGTGCCTGGAGGGAGCTGGGGCTGGGTTTTGCTGCAGTCTCCTGGAACTCAGCCTGAGGTGCATTCAAAACCTGCCTGCTGCAGCCCTGACTTCTGCCTGTGCGGTTGTCCACAAGCGCTAGTGTCTGCACACGGTCTGTGATGCTGGAGTGGTGGCCAGGCATGCATACACAACCAGTTTCCAGACTTAGCCGGTTTTTTCCCATCAGCATCCATCCCACCCATGTCACCTTGTACTTGCAGTGACGGCCAACTACCCTGATGCCCCATCTCTTCACCTGTGAGGCATATTTTTGATACCAAGCACTAGTAACCTCATTTCTCTAATAAAGAATAAAACTGCTCTTCAGACTTACCAACCGCTATTCATTGTACTCGGAGTCAGAGCTGTGACTCTGCATGTTAACAGGCAGGGCGTAGGAGCACCTGGCCATAGTCCTGACTGTACGTCAGTCAGACAACTGAAAAAATGGAAGTGTCTCGGTTGAATTTCTCTTATTAGGGGATTTAGGTTATGTTAATGCCGTAGCTTCATTAATTACCCCATATCAATAAAAAAGGCAGCTCTTAGCCTCCAAGCGGAAGAGGAGAAGAAATGGGGGTATCAAAGGGAACCTTCAAAGACAGCCAGAGCTGTCTCCAGGGTAATTTCTGATCCCGTATTCTTCCCACTTCAAAGTTGGATGTGTGTGTGTGTGTGTTTGGGTCGAGGGGGTTGAGGGAAGCTTGAATCTGATTTCTCTAATAAGTGTTGGCATCAGCCCCGTTTGATATTAGATGCAGGGAACATTTTGATTTGTTATATAGCCTTTGAAATTGTTCAGACGACCTTCAGAAAAATGGCCTCTTCTTACTTGTGGGAAGGACGAGAGCTGGGAAGGGGTGCAGTATCACTCCTCTGCAGAGGAGCCCAAAACTGTGCTCTCAGCAGTTTTTTTGGTAACAAATGCCTGTCCTGATCAAAAGTGAAAAGTTGAAAAATAATAAGCCACTAGCACTGCACTCCTCCGTGAGACTCATTCCCTCTATTTTCCTTGGGGGGGGTGGGCAGCCTGAACACAATGACCACACCAAAGTTTCCATGACTCAGAAAGCGTGGGCAGCTGCAGAGACCTGTCACTGGTGCCCAGCTGCATCCTTCACCAGACTGACACAACTGGCACCCCTTGGCTTCACAAGACAAAGCTCCCAAAGATCTGCAGCAGAGGTTGAGGCCCTGCTGCAGCTTCCAAGTTTTGTTTGGAAGTGTCCATTTTAGGTCGTTTAAAATTCTCTGTATGTGCCGCCTTCTGAAATGAAATAGAGAATTGATAATGTTCTGATAAGCTGCCTGCGCTTCCGAACACTGCTAAATGAATTTTAGCGATGACGATTGTCGCAGCAGCAGGCCTGGCATGGCTTTACAAGGCTCAACACTGCAGGAGCCCCAGTGACAATGTGAGGGCTCTGAGTCCCATCCCAGCTGGTCAAGCTGAGAAGCGGACTCCTCCCGAGTTAGCCCTGGGTTCCAGGTGCAGAGCTGCCGAACACCCCACTACACATTTTCCATGTTCTCTGGACCTAGGTTTCCTGTCTGAGTTGGAAGTGGTTTTATCAGCCCCGTGCTGGAAGGATGCCCTTGCTGACTGGCAGAGGTGATGGGGATCAGCAGAGACAGAAAAACCTTGCCACTAACATCAGGTCATTCCCTTAGCTGCTCCTGTGCTCTAAGAGGTCTTTTGACACCTTGGTGTTTGTCCTGAGGACAGATGTGTGTACACTAGAGCACCTGCTCCTCTGCGGGGCTGGTTTTCACACCCCTGAAAATAGACCCTGTTCCCATCAGAACAAACTCTAGTCCTGAGTTCCTGAGCTACCCCTGGGCTGCAGGTTTAATCACCCCGCGCCATGAGGCTGCCTGGGCCCCTTTGGATCCTTCAGATTGCCCAGTGTTCAAACGGGGAGCCTCACTCCTTCCCTGACACCACGGTTCAGACTAATGTCTTATTCACCAGCCTGAAGCTTTGCAGCTCCAGAATGTTCCCTTTTTGAATATTGCAGCTAGCAAAAAAATGGTTACCCATGCCCATCTCTGCAGCAAGTAAGCGAGAGCTAATAAATATTCACTCCAATCAGCCTTGGCCTCCCGAATTGAATGTCTGAGTTCTTCCTGGCCCTGAGGAGAGACAGGGCATTGACTCCAGAACGCTTATTTAAACGGCTTTCTTTGGCATAAATCTAGCAGAAAATCAAGTATGAGCCACCTGCCAGGGGTTCCCAGCAAAAGGGGAGCCCATTGTTACCAAGTCCCTTTCTGGGCCACGTGTACCAAGTAAACAGACCGCACTGTCCAGGGCCTCCTGGTCCCAGATGGTAGATTTGTCTCCTGGGGTCCTGAGTGATATATTTAAACCTTCCCAAAAGGAGGCACAGTGAATAGGCATGGTGTGTTTTGAGAATCCACAATTAGGCTGCAGAGTCAACTCTTAATTAAGCCTCTGCCCGTTTCTTTCTAAATGGTTTTTTAACATAGATGCTAAAGGTCTCTAATCTTTAAAATAAAATCTGCAGCTTTTTGGTTGTGGCTTGTGCTTCTTGGCCCATTGTGTGTGGTGTGAGTAGGCAGGAGCGTCAGCAGTGGAGAACTCGGCAGCAGCTGCAGGCTGGGAACAGGAGAGCAGTGTCACCTCCAGGTTCCTACACTGATGGTGCTCTTCCTAAAACAAAGATCTAGAGTGTACGGTGTCTCTGTCATCTCAGCAGCGATTTTGGTTCAGCAAAAGATGAGAGGTCGTTCCTCTCTGCCCTGAGGTCCCTGGGCAATCTGTAAGTGCTGCGTTTGTTCAGTGCAGGGCGAGCTGCTGCGCCGAAAAGGCATTGGAACCAGGCTTCCCCCAGATGGGGCTGCCTGCCTCACAGAAGGGACGGGCGGTGGGAATTAGCAGCATGCATTTTTTTCTTTTTTCTCTTACATTTATTTTGTGTGAGTGCGTGTGGAGTGACAGGACAGCTGGCAGGGGTTCTCTCTTTCCCCTATGTGGGTGCTGGGCATGAAGCTCAGGCCCTCAGGCTTGGCAGCGGGCACCCGTCCCGGCCAGGCCGGCTCACCAGCCCTTGCATCTCGGTTACCCTTGTCGCTTTTCCAACCAGATTGCTAACGGGTCAGATTAAAGCTCCAGTGTCTGGGGGTTTTTTTCAGATTCTTCCCATCCATTGCTTTAAGGAGCAGGGACTGAGCGTCGATGCCGCTTCTCTGAAGGGCAGTTTGGTGTGGGGGGTGTGCTATTTGGGGTTCTAGGGGACCCAAGAGGGATACAGTATGGGCAGTATGGCAAGGATGGACGGGAGGTGCGTATTCCCAGTGACTTGAGTAAGTATGTGATCAAAGCTTTCCCCTGTCTACCAACTCTGCAGTCTGAGTGGTCAACCCTTCGCCCTCTTCGGCCAGAGCCCAACTGCCCTGCGACAGCCCTCATGCTCCCCTTCCCCCTCTAGTGAGACTCCCTGAAACCAATCATGACCAGGAAGGACTGAGTGCATGCCCAGGTGCAGCCCAACTTTAATGTCAAAGGACTCCTCACAAAGCTCTGTTTTAGCATTTCCTCAGAATAGAACTCTGAAGTGCCCAGGTCAAATTCAGAGCTCACTTCCTGTCTCGGGAGGTTCTCATGTGACTGCTTTCTGTGCTTCCTGGTGCTGCGGATCAATAAGACAGCTTAGAGGCCCGAGCTAACGCAGGGCAGGCCTCCTCCGTCTTGACCACCGGCCAACCCCAGAGGCAGGTCCAGGAGATCCATTCACTGGATGGTTCAATTTGCTCAGCTCCCAGCCTTGTATATTGAGGTCACGAGTCAGGCATCTCTGGGGTTTCCTCACATCCATCATCCCCCTGAGCGGTGTCCTGGTCAGTACTATACTGGAGTAATTCTGGCTTTGCCATACTTAATTTGTTCTTTAGTCTAGAAACAGTGAAAAGGCATGAATCTGGGTTATCATGCACGCTGGGGAAACCAAAGTGACTCAGGTTAGAACCACTGTATGCCGTGTGTGAGACAGAGTGTGCGTGGAGGATGGGACTCAGGTTAGAACCACCGTATGCCGTGTGTGAGACGGAGTGTGCGTGGTGGATGGGACTCAGGTTAGAGTCACCATATGCCGTGTGTGAGACGGAGTGTGCGTGGAAGATGGGACTCAGGTTAGAACCACTGTATGCTGTGTGTGAGACGGAGTGTGCATGGAGGATGGGACTCAGGTTAGAACCACCGTATGCCGTGTGTGAGACAGAGTGTGTGTGGAGGATGGGACTCAGGTTAGAACCACTGTATACTGTGTGTGAGACGGAATGTGCGTGGAGGATGAGACTCAGGTTAGTACCACTGTATACTGTGTGTGAGACGGAATGTGCATGGAGGATGGGACTCAGGTTAGAACCACCATATGCCATGTGTGAGACAGAGTATGCATGGAGGATGGACTCAGGTTAGAACCACTGTATACTGTGTGTGAGACGGAGTGTGCATAGAGGATGGGACTGGTTTCCCCTGAGCCCTGCCCAGATCTTGTCTGGGACTCAAGCTGCCGTGTTTGTGCTGTGGAGCCGCCTTCAAGCCAGGCCTCCTGACCAGCCAGGCATCAGCATCCCCCAGGAGCACTGCTCTGAGGTCTGCTCTAGCCTTCCTAGCTCAGCCACTCCAGAGGGAAGAGCAAGGGGTCTGTAAATTCAAGAACAAAACTCACAAGGACTTCTAGCGCCAGCCAGGTTTTAGCACCACCAGATGTGGTTGTCCATGAAAGGCCTGTCCAAGTGACCTTGGGCAGAGAATGGCTGCTCATCTGGAAAGCAAACCTCCTTCTAGAGGTTAAATGAAGTGGGGGTCAGTAGCTGCTGGTGTTCGTATACTTAGCAATGGCACACTGATGCCCACCATATGCTAGGTCCCCACATTTCAGGACGGGGAGAGCCAGCAGGGGGGAAGTGAAGCCTCCCACCCTCACCAAGCTCATATGGTTCTGTATGGGTTCAGCAGGAGCAGACAAAGAGCAGGAGTGCTTCCATCAGTCAGTTCTAAGTGTCAGGAAAGTTAACTTTTCAGTAGGTGAAGTCAGGACAACAGGCATCAGGAATTATATTCTGATAGGTGACTGGGGAAAACCCCCCTGGTAAAGTGATACTAAGCCTGGAGCCTAGGAGGAGCCGGGCTTGAGCTTGTATAAGGCACTAGCACATAGTGGCACCCGTCCTGCGGCAGGGTTGACTTGGACACCTGACACCATGAGTGCCACGAGTCTGGGCTCCCAGTGAGCAGGGGGCTCGGCACCCAGGAGCTAGATGTAGACATCCCTCCAGGCTTTCTTTAAGTTCCC